CTAAAGTAAAACACACACTTACAGGGCCAGGGATTTAGCTCAGTGGTTCTGCTGCCTGCCTTGCAAGCACAAGTACCTGAGTTCGATCCCCTGTACCAAAGGGGGAAAAAAAAACCATACTTACAGGCCAGACTAACTCAAGGCTACAAACTGGTGATCTCTACATTCTTTGAACATTGGGATTATATCTTATTCTCTACCACAGAGAACAAAGTCTGACACATTGCATATAATTTATATATATATATATATATATATATATATATATACACATATGTATATGTATGTATAGAGAGAGAGAGAGACAGATAGATAGATAGATAGATAGATAGATAGATGATAGATAGATAGATAGATAGATTATGCTTCAGTTATACTAGAAAAATTCCACCCACCTCGGAACTAAGAATATGTATATTTCACATGAGCAATTTTATTTGTTTGTTTAATTCGTGGACCTTATGGATTGGATGCCCTGGGTACTGAGTTTTTAGAGGAGACTTGTGATCAACCTCTGTGATATAGTCTTTACTAAAGGCATTTTTAGACATATTCCTGTCCCATCTCATCACCCCATCCTTGTTTTGTACTCTCTGTTTCTCTCTAATTTTCTTGTATTATGTTTTTGACACCTATGTCTTAGCATGTTACCTGGCACATTGGCACAGTATTTATCAGCATTCCATGAATACTGTTTAGATTGCATTGAACTCCTAACTGCTTTTTGAAATGAAATACTTCCTTTCTTATAAAGAAGCAAATGAAGGACAAACCTCTCCCTTGAGGGGAGCCTGAGAGATTGGTAGCACCCTTCCTACCACTGCAAGAGAAAGGAGACTGGCAGGTTATCCAGCCACATGCGCCCCCACTGCCTCCCCCCACATGCACCTTTCATCTTTAGGATGAAAGCATGTCACTTTGCTTCACACATGACTACTGAAGCACATCCATGAAAACCCCAAAAGGTAGTTTCTCGAAACTTCTGCCCATCAGAAGAAGTAAAAATAACTCTGCTGGTGTAAACATTCCTGGAAGTAAGCCTAAGAAAAGAAAACTTTCAGGCATGTTCTAAAGCGCTGGAGAGAAAACATAATCACTGGGTCTTCATTAACCATGTAAGGGAGAGGACCATCAGGAGGCACTAAGGACTCAGATATTTTCAGAGTTGCAAGCAGAAAGGTCATGCCCGTGGTGCCATTGCGTGGTTTTCTGTACTAAAGAGAACTTTCTGTCTTCCAAGTATTAGGGGATTGGGAAGGAAAGTAAGGTTTATTAATGAAAACAGCATCCAAAAGAAAGACTCTGAAGGTCTTACCTCTGAGTTTTGGTGGGCTTGTATATTCCTCTATTAAGGTACAATAGAAAAAAATACCTATAGCCATGGTAAAAAAATATATTAGCATACTTTGGTCAATGCCTAAGTGTATTATTGTAGAAAATAATTGCTAATATGTTCCTTTCATTTATATACCATCCACAGTCTAAAAGTTAAATATTTACAACCCCATATGTCCTACAAAAAAAAATGAATGATCTAAAACTGCTGAGATCTTTATTTTTCCTTTGTACATTATATTTTTCCTACTAGGTGTACATCACATGGTAAAATGTCACTTGTTCAAAAATATTCCGTAATATATTCTGCATCAACCACATAAAATTGTCTTCCAAACATATGTTGAAATCATAAGATAACTAAATCTTTACTCCAAATTCACACTAGCCTCAGGAATATACATATGGTTTTAGTTTGAGCCAAAGAACCAGAAAGAGGATTCTAGTGTAGAATTTAGCATAATCAAATCTCTTCAGACAGAAGGGGAGGAATATGAGACAGTAACCATTGACAGTTCTACCCCTGTGAAAATTATATGACTGCTAATTTTTTCCTCCGTAGAGATTTCATAATTTATTGTGTGGCACTTAAGTGAAGACTTTGGAAGACGGTGTGGACAAATGGGAAATTACAGCAGGAAATTTTGTTTGTAAAAATTTATTGGTGCTTTGTGGATATTCTTTATGTAATCCTCACAGAAACCTTCTAAGAAATCTCTTGTTAACCCAATTATTATAGGCGAAATTAATTTGGGGGGACCACATAACCCGCCTACAGTAAAACAGTAAGCAGATTTCCTGAACATAAGTCAGGAGCTTTTAATTCTACCTCATCTATTCATTATCACAGCAGGATCCATCAATAAGGATTGACATGTGGCAGAATTTCCAGGGGCTGTAGCACTCAAGCAGGACCCGTCTGTGTGTGTGTCAACACTGACCGGTGGACATGTTGAGAAAAATCTAAAAACACCAGGGCAAAGCACCCTTTCTCAGTAGCTTCTTCCTGTTCCTCCCACATATGCCACTGATCCTGAGGACCCAAATCCAGTCTTGTTTGTAACACGCCCGCCTGGCCACCCCAAATGTATGCACTTCACACCCTAACCACTTTAAACTTTAATAATCAGCTCATATAGTAAAGCCATGTTATATAGTCTCAAAGGTAGTTTATATCTTGTTTTAGTTGAAAGAATCTTCCCTAGTGACAGAATTATTACCATTTGGCTGACAAATGTTTCTTTTAAAAAAAAAAACTTTAAGCCAAATCAATTCACAAGAACATAAGCAAAGCAAAAAACTTCATTTTTAATGTAATGACATTTTTACTGACATCATTTCAATAATTTAGTACTATTAACCCCTGAAACTACTACTATAAACTATCTTGACACAAAAATGTACCTGAAGCATTTATAATCAAAACTGGCTTTATTTGAATTCAATCATAAATGGCTTATCTGCTATTTGGTTTACTTTTCTTAATACTTTGCTTTTAAAAAAGGTCTTAAGGACATTTAAAAGGATCAAAAGAAGGTAGCCCTGTAACTGATCTAGAGTCATCCAAATGATGGAAAATTTTCTTTGTGGCAGTCACAGGCCAGTTGTTGTACTAAGTTATAACTCACTGTGAAATCTTGGTTGCCTACAGATGTTTGTAAATCCTTAGTGCTGCTCGTACCAGTACTCTGCTGTATTCACACGCATGAATATACTTACTTACCTTTAATCTTAGATGGTTACAATTCAAGGAGTCAACCCGGCCTTGCTAGGAGAACATCATTTTGAGGACAGCTTGTGATAACACTGGCTTGAATTAACTTAACTAATCAAAGAAACTTCCTGCTGGTAATGTCAAATAATCCATTAATGGTAGCTCAGCAAAGAAAAGTATCTGTGTGCCCACTAACAAAGTCAGAGGAAGAGTACTGCAAATGCGCTTTTGCCTGAAACTCATTTCATTTCTTTTTAATTTTCTTCCTGTAAGTCCTACAGGTTTATTGTTGGTTTATTTTTAGGTTTATTGTTTTTCTGAAATGCCAAATCCCATATAAATGTACCTCAATGTTTACCCATAGCCCACCTCATCTGTATCTCTGCGTAGAGTCTGGTAGGTTGTTCACTGCACAACCCTAGGGTTACCAATCACATTGTATAGAGTATTGATATAAACATTTATCATCACAATTAGTAAACTGGTAAATGGAAGTAGTATGTGTGTTCTTTTTTAAATCCATTTGTTATGATAATTTTCCAACTGAACTAACAGTGTTTTGAAGAGAAGCCATGACTTTGTTTTCTAAGTCATAATAAAATGTCCTATAGATTAATAGCAATCTTATCAGAAACCACTTTAATACAGGTAAGTCAGTGAAAGTAATAATGGGATAATAAATATACTAAGGGGCAAGGAATCTTTTTCTCCTCTTGTGAAGAGGTCCTTACCATAAAGAGGGGAGTAAACCAAGGATACATATATCACCCAGAAAAGTGACTTATTTCACTTTTTCTCAACTCTAAAAAAAATTATATTCATTGTTACATCAGTGTAGTCTACCTTTACAGACCAAGGAAAAAGGATCACAGAAATTTCGTTTCTTCAGGTATCACTTTTAAATTAGTAAAATATGTCATAATATATCTAATTATATAATTAAAAAAGAAAAGCTACAAAGAAGTTATTTTAATTCCATCTGTATCTAGAGAAGATATAAAAAGAATGGGAGTAGAAAAGGAGGACACGAAGAGGGAACAGAGAAAAAGGTAAAACTGGTGGAGGTGGGGAGTTGGGAGAAAGGCAAGAAGAAAAAAAAAAGATGTCATGGTCAAGAATCAAAGGATGCAAGAGGGTACAAAGAAAAGAGTAGTATCAAGGAGATAGCACAAAACATAAGGGAGGTAGAAAGACTTGGTAAATTCCCAGATTAGTAGTAAACAAAGAGCAAACTGATTTTATTCTATTTGATTTTTCCTTGGCTTATGAGAAAAGCTACTTTAGCTTACTAAATTAATAAGGCTCACTCATCATGGAATACTTTGTTCAGTATCCTGACACTTTCCAAGATTCATTTTCAGCAAATCATAAGAGGTATAACTGTCATTTTTTGTTTCTTTGTTTTTGCTTTTTAATGACAGTAACTAGATGATCAAAGTGACTTGGCTAGATAAAATGAAGTCTTTAGTATTGAGGTGATGTGCTACTTTTGTTGTTATAGAAATAGATTGTGTTCTGGACAAAAGATGACAAGAATTGACATTTTTATTCCATGGAGAAATATGTTCCAAAAGGAATAATTAAAACCCACAACACTTAGCTATGGCAAAAAGAATCCCTTGGGAGTCATTTAGTTTTTTAATATATGCAATGCTGTATGATTGAATCAAGCTAATTAACATATTAGTCATAATTTGATTTTAATCAATAATTAAATAATGTATAAATGAGTTATCAAACAACATCATGATCAGATGCCCTAAAACATTGTTTTAATCAGAGTGTGATTACTTAGGGTTTATGGAGGCACTAGTTTGAGCATAAAAAGTTTGAATACAGAGGGTATTTCATAGAAAAAACTATCCCCTCTTAGTGCCATGCACACACACACACACACACACACACACACCCCATAGCATCTTTTGGTGATGATTTGTCTCATTTTCCACAGTGCTCCTATATTCCCAAGTGTGGAAAAAACTTTGAAGAATCCATGTCCCTCGTGAATATTGTCATGGAAAACTTCAGGAAGTACCAGCATTTCTCCTGCTATTCTGACCCAGAAGGAAACCAGAAGAGCGTCATCCTAACTAAACTCTACAGTTCCAATGTGCTGTTCCATTCACTCTTCTGGCCAACCTGTATGATGGCTGGGGGTGTGGTGATTGTTGCCATGGTGAAACTCACACAGTACCTCTCCCTCCTCTGTGAAAGGATCCAACGGATCAATAGATAAAAGCAAAAGGGATAAAATAGTTTTCTTTAAAGCTCAAATACTGTTTTCTTTCATTCTTCACCAAAGAACCTTAAGTTTGTAATGTGCAGTCTGTTTTGAGTTCCTTAATGTACTATTACACGTAGAGCAATAATGCAAAAGCTGTTCTATATGCAAACGTGATGTCTGTGTTATTCAGGAGAAGAACTACTGTTCCGTGTTAGTTGGTGGTTTTCATAACTTTGTTTTGATGCTGGGACTAGTATGTCTCTCTTCTGCCAAAACAGTGCTGTTATTAATTTGCCAAGCTTTGTGGAGAAATGTAGACAATATCAGTGTGACCGAGTCTGCGTTCTGAATTATCAGATCTTTTGAATACAAGATTTCTCATTATTTATTGTTTACGGAAGCTACAGCCAAAACTATTTTTTTCTTTTCTTATTTTAAATTGAGCCCTGTAGCAAGTGAAAGGACCAGATTTCCTAACTAAAGGGTGTTAAGCATTTTTCTTGTATTTTTACCATATCACTGTAAAGAAGGGGGAACCTAGACAACTACTCTACTTTCATTACTTTTTACTCACAGCTTTAGATTTTTTAACTGATTTCCAAGAGATGAGATGTTTTCCTTAGTCGATATGATCTCTTCCAATGATTTAAATAAAAAATGAACAGAGAGCCCTTTTCCATTTAAGACCCCGTTACTGTGTGAAAGGATAAATTGACAAGGAGTTTCATTTCCTAGGAACTGACTGAACGTTGGTAGGTGCTCCATTATATCCAGGAAAGGGATTTGGGTGGAAATCCTTATTCCTTGTCAACTGAACTGCTACTTGCTGGTAGACTCGTGAAATGGTTTCAATAGGTAAAATCTATTGTGGCAAATCAACACAGTGAAATATTGCTTTTTGAAAGTTAATGAATGTATGTCTCTCTTCTGACAAGGGTTCCCTGTTGGGATTTTAAAGCTGTGTACACAGAACCTGTCTCCTCTACATGTTTTCTTTTTCTATTTCCAACTCCCTTTTTTGTTGCTATATTTTTTACACAAAACAGACCTTTTTCCTAACATGCATTTGGACTGAACAACAGATTTAAAGAAAGCCTTTCTTTGCGTTGCTATTTACTTATATTTGGGTGGGAGGGAATAAGGGATTGGTTTTAAATAAAAACATTGCATCTTTTATTTACTCTCAATATCAAAAGGAGAAGACAAACCTCTTATCTTTCTCATCAATATTTAAGTGACTTTTTGTAATGTAGTATCAAAGTTTTTTAGGTATTGCAAATTTTACAAATCACCTGTGGATTGAATGGTACAACTAATCTGCTGATGTGGAAATTATTCTGCAATATTGTAATTCATAGTTCGACTTTTCATAAGCAAATAAATCCCTAGGGTGCAACCAGGACTTCAGATGTGTAATTTTAAAAAATTTTTTTAATCCATTAAATCACAAGATGTGAATAGTTCTTGCATTCCAAACTGACAAACCGATGGTAATCCAAAAATGTGTATGTAATGCAGTATCTTTAGAAGTATTTCAAGAAATAATACATCAAGTTCCTTTTTTCATCAAACATGTATACACAATACAGTAAACACTTGGGAAACTTTTCATTCTACTCTACCTTTAAAGCATAATTGTAAAGATAGCAGAGAAATCTTTGGGTCCATGACTTTGTCATCTTCAATGTTCCTTGAGCTTCCCTTCAAGTAATCCAAGCAGTAAACACATATGAGTAAAATTATTAGATGCATTTTTTTATTTTCTTTTTGATTTTTATTAAAAATTCTCAACTGATATTTTATTTTTTTTTATTTTTTTTTATTGAGTTTATTGGTACATTTAGGGATACAGTACAGTTACATTCATTGTTGGGATCATGTACCTTTACATGGCAAGTCTTGATTCTCATTTTTTTCCCCTTACCTCTGCCCTCCCTTCACCCCCTCCTCCCCTCCCCATCTACAAACACTTTATTTTCATCTTTTCATTCTCTCACATTTTTTTCTTTTCCCTTTTTGTTCTTCCCCTACGTATCACACCTTCCCTACACCTTTAGCTCCTTTCCTCCCATTTCTAAATGTCAGTAATCTTATTAGAATCTTATGCATTGTCAACTGATATTTTAGATAAGAACGTAAAACTCTCAAAATAATTACACCAAAGAGATATTAACTAATACCTTCTTAAATCCCAATACAGCAATAACCCCTTTAGGTAATTTAGGTGTATATACAATTAAATGCTCAATATTAAAACAGAAAGACCTGTGACTAATAATAATGTTTTAAATGCTAGGGGCTACATGCCCAGCCCTTTCGTTATTTATTTTGAGATGGAGTCTTGCTCAATTGTCCAGGCTAGCCTACTGATGATCCTCCTGCCTCAGCCTCCCTAAATGCTGGGATTATAGGGATGGGCCGCTGCTCCTAGCTTAATTTCATCTTTAGAACACTATTGAAAGGAGAGTTATTATTAACTCACCCTATAGATGAGTGTTGAAGTTTAGAGATGTTAAATTGCTTTGCCAAGGTTACACAGACACTGACATGGTCGGAGCTGAAAAGACTCATCCTTTGGTTTTCCCTTCATGATCTCCATTTATCTGGCCTTGGGTCTTTTACATGGAAGGGGGATTCTGATGTGTGGAAGGAGTTTAGGGATGGAAAAGAAAGAGCATTGAATTAGAAGACTATTCAAGACACAGTAGTGAGGCAACCAAGTATCAGTCTCTTGCCCTTTTGACTATGATATTAAACAGTGAAGCTAGCTGACTCCTCCTTTAGCATTAACTTACCATGACACATGTAAGGAAAGAAGAATAATTATTGTTCTTCAAGCTTCAGAGCAGGGTCTGATTCTCAAACAAAATCTGTAAGTATTAATCTATGGATTAAAAAAATCCCACATAATGCTGCCAATAAGCCACTTGCCTCTTTAAGCCCTAAAGTCTTATTTACATCTGCCAAAATCAGAGCTCTCAGTCTCCACATTACTCAACAAGAGTGATTTCACCAAATATTATTAATGTCTTTGCTTCCAAATCACTTTCATTATCCAATTGACACATCTCATCTAAAACTTTATTGATTTCAGATTCCCTGAGTTGCAATTGTATTAAACCTCTGAAATGATAAATGCACCAATGAGTGCTTGCAAATGGCTATAATAAAAAGACATGATTCCTTAGAAAAATACTGGCAAAACACCAACTGAAGGTAATGTGTAGGCAATCATAAAATACCTCTTATGCAGACCGTGTGTCATTTAGAATTGCAGCACGTGACCCTTTTCTCATTGTTCTGAATGCTCCCAAAATACTTACAGCTGTAAGATGAAACAATTTAAAGAACAAATTTCACAAAGAAATATAAAATTCTAGCTGAGCTTTTATAGATTTTACCATAGGTTTTTTTCTAATGATCCATAATCATGGTCAGCTACTGGTAGAGCTGGAACCTGCCAGAAGGAGTCAGTGACTGGAGCCCTTTTTTAGCATTATTACTATGACATTATTTTATACCTGTTCTGGTTATTCTTCTCCGCTGGGTGTTTAAGACCAAGTTAAAGTGAGACCTGTGTCAATCAGTATGAACCTCTTGCTATCTATCAAGGTCAGTTAAGTCTCCCAGGCATTACTCTGGAACCATGCATAGAGCCTCTCAGCTCCTCTGTCAGCGTCAGCCATCAGGATGGGTCAGACCTTGCTTGACCATGTTGCTTTCATTGAAAGCATAGGAGTAGAGCGAGAAGCAATTTAAATATGTTCAGGGACCATTTTCATCTCCAGAATTAAGGATTATTTTGATGTTACATCATTGCCTTTTCTCTTTTACTTTCCTTTTTAGTTTTATTTTAGGATTCCCTATTTTTAATATTCATAAAGAGATTTCTTTAACTAAAATATCGAATAGTTTCTTTGGTGTGAAAAACTATAATAGTACACAGGATCCTAATGAGATAATTAATAATGTGAAATAGGAAGTAAAGGGCTAAAGGTGTAGGGAAAGTGGGAAGGGTGGGGGAAAGGTAATAAGGGAGAGGAAAAAAATATGAGAAACTGAAAAAATGGAAATAAGGCGTTTGTAAATGGGGAGGGGAGGAGGGGGTGAAGGGAGGGCAGGGACAAGAGGAAAAATGAGAATCAAGACCTATTATGTAAAGGTACAGAATCCCAATGATGAATGTAATTGTATTGTATACCTAGATTGTACCAATAATCTCAATAAAAAGAAAAAAAAAGCATAGGAAGCTTGTCCCTCATGGTGACCCTCCTTTGGCACACAGTATATTTGTCCTCTGGTGCCCAGCAATCTCCCTGCTCGGGAGATTGAGTGATTTACCAAAGATGTAGGATCTGGATCTTGTAGAGCTTGAGGGGCTAAAGCCAAAATATTAGGTGTCCTCATAGCCCGGTTACTTTTCTAGCTTTGGACTCTAAACTTTAGTTGTTGAGCACCCAGAAGACAAGATCAGTGACATTAATAGCTTAAATTTTGTCTGGACATTAAGCACTCTGAAGTATAAAGCACAGTTACACTGGCTGTTATTTCTTATCAACCATACTTGCTTTAGTCACTGAATCCTTGTAGAATGTTAACAGAAAACAGTTATGTATCATACAGAAACTTAAGATCAAGAGCCACACATAGTATTTTAGCGTGACAATCATGATAACATTTTCTATGTAACATTTACATATTCATCTTAATATGAAATAGTCTTTCAGTCAAACACCTCCATCTGATCATGAGACATTAAGTGATATAAAGAAAACTCTTATTTGTTCTCCTTTAGTAGGATGCCATCTAAGGAGAACATATATATTGGCCTATAAATGTACCTTAGGAGTTCATAGTGTCTAACCTTTAATTTACATATGGCATTTACAAAACAAATACTATCTTTTTTATGGTTTCAAAAAGAATTTTTTTTCTCATTGAGTTTATTGGTACATTTATGTACACAGTACAGTTACATTCATCATTGGGATCTTGTACCTTTACATGACAGGTCTTGGTTCTCATTTTTTCCCCCTTGGAGGGAGAAGGGGTCAAGGGAGGGCAGGGACAAGGGGAAAAACAAATGCTATCTTCAGTAATGTTGAGCTATCAACAACTTACCACATTCCTGTGGGCAAAACATCTTGATTTTGTAATTATTTTATTGATATTAACAGGTGAAGTTTGGATATTGTTCCTTCTCAACTCCTATTTTTCCTCTTCCACTGTAAAAGAATGCCACCAAAATAGTCTTGTGATTCTACGATAACCGTGTAGGCACCACAAAAAGGCTGTGACCCAAGGAAAAAGGTTCAAGGTTCTCCTAAACAAGCTGTAACCATGCCATATACAGCAGGGCTGACCAGACGACTTCTAACTTTGGGATGGTTATGCTAATTTATTTCAGCAAGGGTATGTTATTTTAATTTTTGTCCATTTTTATTGTTTTTTTTATTGCTACACTTTTTTTTTTGGAACAGGGGCTCGAACTCAGGTCCTTGAGCTTGTGAGGAAGGCAGCAGAACCACTGAGCTAAATCCCCAGCCCTAGTACTACATGTTTGTAGCACATGATGATCACATTTCACTGGGAAGTTAGCACATGTACATAACACAACTTAATTCTTTATTTTAATCCCCTTCCCTCCCCTCCCTCTCCCTCTATCTCTTGGGCCCCTTCCCATATGCAAAAGATCTATCTTGCTATTTTCTATTATTAATCTTTTATTTTGCTTTTTATTTGTATTTTGACTTTCTGCTACACAAGAAACAATGTGATATATAAGTTTGTGTGTCTCATTAATTTCTCTTGACATATGGTCTCAAGGTGTACCCATGTTCCCACAAATGACTTAATTTCATCTTTCCTTGTGGTACAGTAGTACTCCCACGTGTGTTATTACCATAATTTCTTTATCAACTCTTCTGTTGATGGACATATTGGTCACTTCCAAGATTTAGCTATTATGAATTGTGCCGCTATAAAGATGGGTCTGCGTGTGTTGCTATAATAAGATGTCTTAAACTCCTTCAGGAAGATACCTAGGAAGAGAATAACTGGGTCAAATGAAATTTCTTGTTTTAGTTTTTTGAGGAATCCATAGACTGAATTCCATAC